GTGATGCATTCCCCTGCACTTTCCCAAGCCTATGCTTGCCAAATAAAATAATCGACCCTTCCTCCAGAGGCAAACACCTCCTGAATTCATTTTTGTTGCTTATTTGCTTTCCTGCTTGGTTTGCATGCGGTGGCCACTTTCCTGCCTGGTTTTCGAGCGCTGCTCACGCATTACGTTGGCGTGGCTGTGGATAGGGGGGTTTGCCACCTGGGGAGTGGACATGAATTGAGGGTTTGTGAGGTGTCGATGAGTTAAGGGGGAGTGGGGGGAAAAGCAAATTTGTTTTATACAATAACAATTTATTTGAGTGATAAGACAGACCAGGGCCTATCTAACGTAGGGGTCATTGTTCAATGCAATATATACTGGCAATTACAGATACTTGGGCAAGCTTGATTTTCTGAGACAGAGAGTTGGTTTTGTGAGTGAATTCGGGTGAACATGACAGAATGGTAATCTGACAAATTCGTTCCGTTTGCCACGTAGATGTTCAGACCTTGGTGTTCCTCGGCGCAGACCAGGCCAGTTGTGGTTTCAGGGCAAGGACGGGCAACACCTTCAAACAGAGGCGCCGGTCGTTGTTCTCCCATCTGTTTGGTGTTCCCGACGGCTTCCGATGGGCTTAGCAGCGCCCGGTGGATTGGACAACTCGGTGTTGCCCGGTGGATTGGTGTTGCAACACGTCTTTGGACAGCTCGAGGGCTAGATGTCCTAACATGTTCTAACACATGTGGCACAGAGTGGATTCCAGTTGCCAGTATAAGGAACCAGTGTGTTTTTTAGTCTTTGGAACCACTGGTTACCAAGGACATCGCGGTTTGCCTGGATCTACTGGGGTGACTCAACATAGAGACGGAATCCTTCCGTCAGACTCTTTTCCTGGTGAGATCGACAAGCAGAGTCCCATGCTTGGTCTGGTTTTACGTGGAGTTTCAAAGCATAGACAGCACGGTCTCATGCTTTGAGACAAACGAAAAAGACATGCGTCAAGTGCATAGTCTATGCGCATACCTACTTGGCCGACGTGCTTTGTTGACCTGTGCAGAAACCCTCAGCTGTCAGGGTACCTGTGCCAATTCTGTGTGAATCAGTCGCTCTTTTGGCGTTGGGAATGGGGTGCTTTACTTCGCGGCATCGCCCACCGGGACGATGGGGAGCTTTACTTCGCAGCTGGTCGTTCGGCAGTTCTTAACAACCCATGGGGTTTCAGCTTCATCGATGAGAGGATGTTCTGTGTATTTTTTTGTAGAGTGCAATGCCTTTCACGCAGTTGGAGCAATGGTTTTCATGCAGTTGGAGGTCACATATAGTATCAACCCCAAGCGAGATTGGAAGGGTATCTTCATTCACCCAAGAGTTCGTGCAGAAAAGAATCCTTCCATTGACTTCTACTAGCTGCGACCTCCAAAGTGCTCCCGACCTGCCATGTCTGTCTGGACCGCGGATCAGGTGGTGCTGAGGGACGGTCAGGTGGACCTCAGACGTTCCTTGAGGCCGGTGGCCGTGGTGACCGGCCCAACGATGCGAAGAACGGGTCAGCGAGATGGGCGGAATTCCTGTAGGATGAAGGGAGGAAATATGACCCTGAAAGGACTTGGGGGTGGCTATGGCGAAGGTATGGGCCAGTCCGAATCAGGTCCTCAGGTGAAGGGTTCCAAGGGTTATAGGCATATACACATGTTTGATTCTTTTTCTGACACCGCTTCAGTTGATCTCACGAGGGATGCAGAGAGCCCTGCAACGCTGGCTCAATTCCGCTGAAAGAAACAAACAACCGGAACAGCATCGGCATAAATTGTCGCTTCATTCAGTTCAACGACTGGAACAGTCAATATCGAAGGAAGGTTTCACAAGGCCTCCTGAACACCCAGCTCGCCGCTGACATGACCCATGTGCTCGGTGATGAAGTGCTTGCAGATATGCTTGGTCCAGCTGGACCTTTTAAGACCAAGAGAAAGACCAGATATCGGTTCATTTGGAAAGTGGGAAGATGGTGCCAACATGCTTCCACTGTATTTCAAAGGCCCAGGGAACCAGCTTCAGACCAAGGGGAAGAGGATCTCCGCCCAACCTCCATTATCCGTGGACGAGCCAAAGAGCAAGGATGCACTGGTGGCGAAGGTCCCTTGGGGGACTGACCGCAGGTGTTGCCACAGGTACAAGTTAGCTTTGGATATCAGGCATCTAAAGGACTCTTCTTGAGGATATATACTGTAGTCCTCAAGCCCATCAGACCAGAGGGTGCATTTATCGCTGACAATAATTATAATAGGGATTCAGAAAATATATAGTCTATAAATGGATGCAAATGGCACAAAGACCTGTTTGACAGCGGAAGATGGATGGAAGCTATCAGGAGATGGATGCACTACTGGAATTGTGGCCCAGCTACTTTGAATGTTCTGCAACAACGACCGTCGCGCGACCCTTTCCTTTTTCTTCCAGACGAGACGGTCGCCTTCGCCACACGGTTCGGCGCCTGCAGGCGTACCCCATATTTGAACTTCATGGCCGCACAGCTGCACGGGGTCCCTTCCATGTGGGATAAAGCCTTGCTCTTCAGTGAGAAAACCGTTTCTTTCTGACTATCACAAGAGACCTACTCTAGAACATACATGAAATATACATTATGAACCTATGAATCAAGTCTCACTTTCTAGTACCATGACACATCTGGGCATGGGCTGTCTATGGCTGCTTTGCCATGGCTCCACTTCTGAAAATCTGAAATGGACAACAGGGTTGACAAAGACAGCCTCTTCACCTCTACGGTCGCCATTGTTTGGCTCTATGTACAGGACGTTTGATCAAACTGATTACTGATGGATTCGGATTGAAAGCTACCCCGATGGATCCCAGCTACGACTGTGTAAGGAACCAGGGTTTCCAGGTATGGTTTTTGTCGCTGGAACCACTGGTCACTAGTCACTAGCTATAGTGGCAACACGATCCGCTGAGCACAGTATGCTGCAGTTATTGGCTGGTGATGTATTTGCTTTGTATCCTATAAGCCCCTCTCATGTCTCTTTCTCCCAAGCTGGCTGGTGGCTTCAGGGGAGAAATGGGCAGTGTGCGCCCTTGATGGGGTTTGTCTCAGAATTTGTTTGTTGGTCCGCCAGGTGGACCAGGTGGACAGATTCTGAAGCGATGCAGGAGGACCTCGTCCGATGGTCGCCTTTAGGACCTACCAAGTGGATGATAGTCGGATTTTTTTCAACGGAGAGGCGACCGTGAATCTCCAGGTGACCCTCCATGAAGACCTGAAGACCTGCAGTGCGACATATGCCAGTAGTGGCCGAGTGATTCTGGACATGACTCCCCACCCCGGACAATGGACGTGGGCCAGATGGGCTGCAAGGAATCATCCCCACCAAAACCTGAGGCGCTCTGCCGATGTGAAAGAAGTGCTGGCCAGCAGCTCAGCCCCACACGGTCGAGTGCTTCTTTGCTTCGAATAGGGCTGTTGGGTTCTGTCAGACCCGATCCGGAGATATGTGGATCATCATAGTTAGTTTTTCCAAGAGGTTTGGAAGTAATGCCCCCCCACGCATAGCGTTTGCGTTTGCCACATGTGCGGTGCTGCAGGGAAACCGGACATTTTCACATCACGGCCTCCCGCAATTGGCGAGACAGTACAGTTTTGCAATATGTCTTGCCAATTGGTCTCTTTGTTACACATGTTTATGTACGATTCTTGATGAGGCATGTGGGAAACGTCATCAAGTTTATTATTGCTGGATCTATTTGAGTTGCTGGATCCATTGAGAATATAATGTAGCCATATATTAACCGTTTTCATAATATAGCGTGTTTGGCTTCAATACAGACGTGTAGAGAAATCTACCTGTTTGATCTTCACACAAATCGTTGTTGACATCAGATAGCTGCCTATCATACACGGGAGAGGCACACCACTAAGTTTTAAGGATAAACCCGCTTTCCTTCGCGATTCCAATTTGTGACAACATGTTTCCGGTCTGTTGCTTTAGGTCTTGCACTTCGGCGTCTTAGGCAGTGTGTCCTGGGGTATATCCAATCCCTGAACCGGCTAACCGGTGGTCATCATGTTACCCACCGAGGTCTGCGGTTTGGGTGGCGGCTTGCTGCCTCATGTGCTGAGCTCCTGGGGAATTCAGGCGCCCTGGCTTTCGCTTTGGAGCACGAACCACTGGGAATCACAGACGAAGACGAAGAAGGTGAAACACGTTGCTTAGCAGATTTCTGGACACTATGGGGCTTGATGAACGGATAGAAATACAGAGTCAGCCGTTGCACAGCGATGTATGATTTTTATTTTTAGTTCATCAAGACATTTAGTGAGTCACTACGGTTTCCGTTTTTCACAATTGATATATATGGGAATATGTGGGACACGAGATATGAGCAGCCACCAAAACGTGCAATGACTCATCGATAGGCCCCCATCAAGAGCAATAATCATATTTCCGCAGTTTTTGGATACGTTCAGTTATGTTGACAATGTGGCTAAAACCAGCAAAAGCGGGCAGGCCCATCTCAAAAGTGATACTGTAACCTTGCTGAATCATGTCTTCTGCTTAACAGCACGCTTTGACAGACACTCATATGACTTCGCAACGGGGAGGGGATACTGTGGGACCACCAATTCATTTCTGAAGAAGTCATTAAGCTCTAAAACCGCTTTCATCAGACATCAGACAGCTTTCATCACCGCTTTCAAGACAGACCTTGAGTGATGAGGTCCCACCAGGCCTTCAACAAGCCCTATGGCTGGTCCGGCAGTTGTTGTGGACGTTTGGCTTCATCAAGGCAACCAGTATTCACATAGCTCTACAGAACAAGCAGCCGGCAACCCACCAAGCTGCAAAGAGCTGTCTTAGCGATTTGGATGAGCATCCTGCTGTACGCATGCTGCCCTGCCTAAACACCTCATGTGTTAAATCATCAGATCAATTGTTGTTGATTTGATTCTTTGTGTGAGTACAACCATTTCTTCTTCAAAATCATGTTGTAGTGGGGTGGAGCTGAACGGAAATCAGTCTGACATGTTGCAAAGCTCAATCCCAGCATCTCCCTGCCAAACAACAGCAAACAATCCGCCAAGCAGGGCAGGGTCATGTTTTCAAGACCTGGGCCTGGCACCATTGTTACAATGGTGTCACAAAGAAAACTCAGGCAACATCATGTATACGTAAGCAAGCTTGCTTTTTGGAGATGAGATTACTATTGACATGCGTACATATATATATATACCCAGGTATGTCACTTATATGTAACTTGTTTTCACTGAGACTTTTTCTGATACATAGAAACTGTATACATATCTAGGTAAACTCACATAGAAATGCAGTTGCAATCCCAGCTACCCAAAACGCCCAATCCCATCCCATTCGCATTGCTTGGCACGTTTCCCACCGCAACGTGCAGGTCTTAGCCCTGGAGCGCTCCGGGGAAGTGCTTGACTTGGCGCGACGCTTCTTCGGCCTCGCTCCGGTGCGAAGCTGGACGAAAGACGGACCAAACCGCCCGTCCCTTCGGTCACTGAGAATGTCAGGGGGAATCATGGAGGGAAGAGGTGGGTAATCATGGTGTGTTGATTGTTGCCTTCTCCAAGCTCTGGGAGAAATGGGCTGGTATCAGTACTTGTGGGTCATGAGTCTGGAGCTTCCAGAGGTCGTGAAATTAAGTTTGTGTTGGGATCCCAAGCTGAAACAAATTCTTGAACAATATGTTTCGAAGAACGCAGTGATTTTTGGAAAATCTGTTGTTTTTCTCCCAGTGATCCGAGAAGTGAAGTACTTCTTTCCAAGTACAGCGCCGCTATGCTCGGTGCAGAGCATTTCGGCGCTGAAACCTGGAGGCGGTGACGCCCCTGGAGATCCAAAAAATCTCCGTGGAAGACTTTGAGCCCAGGCCCGGAGCAGAGGGCGTTTCTCGTTGCGGCGAAGGATAGCGCAGTTGCCAACTGCAGAGGATGTCAACAGTGTCAACCCTGTTTTTTTGCTTAGGGTGAGTGTTTAATTGTCCATATTTTCCCTATGGGTGAATTCCCTGCAAGATATTCATATGTTATTCCTGGTTCCTGGCCAGCAAATCCAAGCAACTGGAGCGCAGTGAAGTGTAGTGATCGCAGTTGCGATTCTGGTTGGTTGGGGTATGCCTGTTAGTTCCTATACTATATCCGAGTGCAAAAATAATATTTCACTGGGACAGGTTGCTGCAGGTGGCGGGTTCTGAGCCTTTCGGTCTCAACAATGGCGAAGCAAAATGACCTTACCTTACCCAGACAAAGAAAGTCGCCAGGTGAGATAAGGCATTGGGAGAGATAAGGCTGGGCATAGCTCAGCCAGTGAAGATGGTGAGAAGGGATTTGCCATGCATAAACGGGCTCAGAACATCTCAGATTAAACAAGTGAAAGGCAAACTCAAGCTTGTTGAATGGGTGCTCGGGGAAGGTTGTCCAGTCAAGTGTGGCTGTGTGGCTGTCCGCTAGGACAGTCACAACAGATGGAAGTGGCATGGTTTTCTGAAAAACTGAGACTTCAATAAGCTGCGCGTACAACATCTTCCTGTCATCAGAGTTTGCTGGCCATTGGTCGCGTTATTTGGCGACTCTTTGGTCGCCTGCCGGTGTTGTCAACGCTGTCCGTCTCACGTTCGTCCCGACCGCGGCACGTGGTGTTTCGCCGCTTGTCATGGTCGGATCCCGCTGGGGATCGGTCCCAGCCCAAGCGCCCCAGTTGTAGCCTGTTCTCACTTGAAAAGGAACCTGCTCGTTCAGCATGTTCAGCATAGCAGTTGTTGTTTTGTTCCAGTCCCTCATTTACAATGTACAGAAAGCTGCTCGTTCGCGATTCGCAACCTGCATATTGCCAGTGCATCCCTCCTGACATGCACGATGCTGATATTGCAATTGCAACCTTGACACGCCTTGCGAGCATCCTTGACACTCGCGAATACACCACGAAGGATGAAATCACAGGATTCAATTCCTGCAAGCTCTAGTCCTGCCTGGTCTTTGGTAATTTTGAGAATCCCCAAACCCCACTGCTCGTGTTTGGCAAGGCCTGTAGGCTATACAATCTCTACAGACATTAAGGCACTCTGTTTGATCCAGGTGGATCTTGATCGCCCCTCTTTGTCCCACCACTGGCCGCAACTCCACACTAACGCCGATTCAATTCCGAGGCATAGTGCCTTTGATGCCTGCGTGCTCGACATCTTCGAGGGCCACACAGAGGCCGTCCCCGCCTTCACCAGGCGAGGCCGCGAAGCCACATCTTCACGTCGCGAGCCCTCGGGACCGATATTGGCCGGAGGAAGGGGATGGCACTGCGCACGGTCGAAAAAAGAACATCAAGGGAAAGGAAGGGAGCTCAAAACAGGGACTAACAGGAGAACTGGTATCACATTTAGTTGTTGTTACATCATGTCTCTCAAACTTAAGTTGGCTCAGTTGGCTGGAGAACTGTATGCAGAGAATGGTTTTGGAACTCCGTGTGTTTTGTTGATGCTTTGGAATGTTCCTGATGTTGGTGTTCCATGGGAGTCCCGGTGTTTGAAGGAAAGGTGGGGCCATGGACACCTGAGCCACATCGATCAAGGTCTGAGTCTAGTTCCCATATCACTCAAGTAGACATAGCTACTGGACACCCAGAGCACCACCCGACCGACGATCCAGGCGACACCCATGCGAACCAGGTCGGGTGCTAGAGCATCGGATCCTAAGATCGGCCTATGAGTCCTACCAGACCCGCTCTTCGTCGCAGTGGGATCAACCTAGGATGGACCTGCAAAGCTGAGAAGCTCAATCCAAGCTTAAGTTTGGTTTTGCTTAAGGTGATTTGCATGTTCCCTATAGCGTGAAGTTAATCTTCTTTCCTGGTTCCTTAAGCAAATCCAAGCAATGCAAATACCCTCAGTGTGTTTGTTGACGCTCCTTAGTGAGTGAACATCTTCAGGAAGACAAGGGCTGGGCAGTATGGTCAAGATCTAAACAAGGGCTGGCCCCGCATGGTGTCTTGAACCATCCTCAGAAGGTTTAGAACGGGATTGTTTCACCCATCCTCAGGTCAATGGATTTTGACTGTCGCATCTACCAGCGAATCAAGCTATGTATGTCAGGTCCAAAGACTTCCTTTCGTCCTTGAAGAGAGCTTTGAGGCTGTGTTGTGGGCAGGTTGGAGGGTTTAGTGCAGGGATGTGCGTGGTGAGTTTCAACAAATTGTGAGATCCCAAACAGCTTATAAGAGGAAAGATAGACTTGACTGACTATAGACAAAAGTCATGCGTAAGACCCAGTGGTTGAGGTTGGTTCCCAATTTTTCAGAAGATCTGTGATAAAGAAAGAGGGTACGTCAATGCTGTGCACTGTGCATAGGCTGAAAACTAGTGGCTCGTAGCCTTTTTGTGACTGCAACGTCCTTAAGACCCCCCAGGCACCTTGGTCTTTGTAGCTGTCAACGTTGCTTGGTTTTCTCAAGGTGTTGGGTGCCTCTGCTGTTTAGTGTCCATAGCAAGCCGCACAGGCCACAGACTCCAATGAACCTGCGACTCCACGTGTGACATGGTGGTCCATCATGCTTGGTTTTTATATTTATCATGGATGTTTGCTGGCTTAGCTTTCGCTCCTTCTCTCCGTTTTGGTCGGCTCCCCTGGTTTCAGCCAGTCGGCTCCACTTTTGAGGAAGTCCTTGCTCCTGTGTTTTCGGGTCTTGTTTGGACGAAGGCGGTGCTGGGGTTTCTCAGGCCTGGAGGCCGGGTCCTGCAAAACGCCATCGACGCCGTCGAGGGACCCTGGCGACTGAGCACCAGGCGCCAAACTCAAAAACCGTGGACGGCGGTTGGACGACGTTGGAGTCAGGTTGGAGTTGCCTGCCACTTCATAGAGGAACAGCTCTTCATAGAGGGACAGCGTGTTATTGATCAAATTGCGTGGCATTTGCTGTCATGTCTACCTTGCATCGGGAGGAAGACAGCCTGATTTCTTGGGAGCTTGAGGATGCTTGAGGTGGTCAGGTGGTAGGTTTCAAAGACCGCTCCTCCAAGTTTCACTGGAAGATCTGGAAGGGTCCCGAGTAGGAAAAAGCGGTTGCTGAAGGCTTCCTAGTATGGTTTCACTCGACCAAACCGACCTCATCTGTTTACACTCGATGTCAAAGGGTGGAGAGAAGAGATGAGATCTCGAACACCCAAGTCGCACAAAACCAGAAGTTCTGGAAGGTCTGGAAGAGGGATTTTTGTTGTGTTCGCTTGCCAGCAACAATGGGGGATTACATGGGATTACAGTGGGAAACCAGGTTGCATTCTGAGTTGGACTTTGGGACAGAAACCGTTAGGTTTCAAGCAAAATAAAAAGCCGCGAGCACCCCCGAATACAAGACAACACCCCACCATTCGGTGTTTTTTTCACAGAGGATGTCTTGGCACTATCTGTCATTCATCACTCTTCAAGTTATCAAGGACATAGGACAAGGACCAACATGGTCACCATATGACACCATGGTCTTCTTCAAAAAATACCGGTGAAACAGATGTGAAACAGTGCAGAGACATGGCGTCCAATTCTGTTTCCTTCACAGAAAATATCCTCCTGCAGAGGACCACGTCTTCGCCCTGAAAACCACCTGCATGCTGCATGATGGATGAGAAATGATGAGGAGCGTCTTACAAGGGTCATCAAGGGTCTATTTTCACGGTCCATGGGATCGTTTGCAGGTCCCAGGCGTGGTTATAATACGACACATCGACACATCTAGTATACAGGAAACGCATGCTTTTGGGGTTGAAAGCAAGCCATGGTACCAATCATCAGGCTCATCGAGAATGATTCCCCAATCCAGCAAACACATTCTTTAGATGTTTCCTTCACAACCAGTTCTGGGAGCCCTCCTGCAGCTACCAGGCCACAGCCATCGCGGTCGCGCCACGGCGAAGCCGTGCGCTGCACCGCGCGGGTGCGCCACGGCGCACCGGCCGGACCGCCGGGGCGTCCGAGAGGCGAAAGAAAGTCATGGGTCTTTGGGAAAACATTGAAGACATGAATTATCATGAAGTTTATCATATTGAAATTATGCAGTATAAAATAGTATCAAGTAATATTGATTTAAACATCTCACATAGAAATATACATGGATGTTTTGTTCCTAAAGAATCTCTCCAGAAGCCACAAAAATCTCCTGGAGTTCTTCTTACAATTCTTGGTTGACAAGAATTGGATGATTATTATATTGTTTTGCAATGCGGAAGTTCGGGTTGGGATGTTTCAGCTGGGTTTGGAGAAGATAGTTAGATCGTTGATCGGTGTGGCAACTCAAGACTCTTCAACATCCAGTCCATGAAAGATGGGGAAGTGAATATCAGGCACCATTTGGCGCGCCTCAACTATTCGCAATGACTGCTTGGCATCTCACAACTTGAGCCCAATCCTGGCCCCATACAACTCTGCCTGGGATATAGGAGCTGTTTAATGGAAAGGTATCCAAATCAATCAATCCTTTTCACACGCCCTTGAGCTGCTAGGCATACACTTTGTTTGAATGCCCTAAAGCAGCGATATTATCAACTTCAATGGCCAATAGATCCAAAGTGAGTCATTAAAGGCACTGCCTGAAACATCTTCGGAGAGGTCCTTTGACCGATGTCTTGCTGCAACAAAGAAGGATGGAGACTGAGGACGTCCTCCCACAAATGAATTCCATTTGGGCTTGGCTCTGAAATGTCCGAATCAAACACGCTGAAAGAAGGACTTCTTATTTTGGAACATCAAGAAATCAGTCATATTTGACATCACATCTTGCGTTTCCATCTCAAGTTCCGTGCATGACTTGTGGAGATTTATTGGACACACGAACACACATGGTTGACACGAGGTTGAGACCTGTGACCTACCAACGACGCAACGAGGATTTCGGATGGGTTGAGTAGCTGTGCTTGGGTCGTGTGTTGATGTTTCGGATCTCGTTGGAATCTGCTTGCCAGCCCCAAGGGTTTGTCACCCACCTTGCCCCCTGTTCTTCTAATGGAGACGCTATCCAGCGGATCTCCAGCGGACCTCTCAGATGGTTCTTGTTTGGATATAAAGGGAGTGGATGTCTTCCCTTTCCCTGGCCTGTTTCAGGATTCAGGATTACCTTGGCTTACCGACTAGTTACTGGCCAGCAAGATGCTGGATTCGCAGCCCAAGGAGGCCTAACAGTGACCAATCTGCCAATCTACACACAATTCTACACAGTATCTCCACCCATATACCCCTCCGTTGCCCGGTTATTGCTATCGAATTGACGAAGCGATTGAAACCCGTAAAATCCGTAAAAAGATGCCTCCGACTCCGACTCCAGAAAATCCAGAGTTACACACATTGACCCCATGTATGATATGAGCTTAGTAACTATAATCATAGATGGTTTGGGGATGTCTGAGGAGGTTCCACGCACTGGGCCAACGAGTCAACCACCCTTTTAGGTGTTTCCAGGACGGAGAGATGGCTTGCTCGGGTCGTACCTAACAGATCAAAAGACCTTACTTTTCATAGGCCCACTACCAGGAACCACAAGGGATGGTTAATGGACATGGGTTACTAGATTACTGACTGGCTAGGTTTCAGGCTGGATGTGCAGTTCCCCATTTGCTTCGTCCTTGGGATCTGGATGAATCTGGTCTTCACATGTTCGGTGAAGCGGAGTGACTGACCCCAAGCAGCTATCAAGGGACTTCCAACGTACATTTCCTCATTCAATACGAACCACATGGGCCACTGAGTTGTGACAACTCACATGCCGACCGAAAGATTTCTGAACCTCTACCCGCCTATTGTGGTACGTATCTAATGAACAAATACTGGCATATGTTGTCAACTCAACTGACCTCCATGATGATTGTACTGGTGTCGTTCCTTGTGGAAGATTTCGATACTACTCCAGGGGAATCCAGTCCATTGTCGAGTAGATTCTCCACTGAGCCGAATTCCGTCTCTGTGCAGGACTTGCAGCTGCTGAAAGAGGCCTATCGAGAGGCTCGAAGCAGCTCCGATCGAACATCGAATAGTTCCAAACTTGCATGTTTGTTCGGAATGTGAATGGTGTCCTTCCCATGAATTCCTCTATAGTGAGCCCAGTTTCTAGCTCTACAGCTTTCAGCCATCGGAACCATGGTGATGGTGGTCGTGCTGGTGATGGTAGTGGCGGTGGTGATGATCGTGATAGTGTTGATAGTGGTGGTAGTGAGCTCCCCACGCAACTCCACCTTGTGGAGGAGCTGCTTCGTGGCAACACTGCTTGACCAGTGAAAACCGAGACATCCGCAACAGTACAACAGTGTTGTTTTGGCATCCTGACGCTCGTGAAGGCCATGTTGTTTATGACATTTATGACAAGTGTATCATATTCTGACATTGTTACATATCAGATACTGTATCATATGCAACTTTGCACCTACTTGTAGTACTTGAGCATTGGTAGTAAGGTAATAGAGCCCGTGCTTGCTGCTGGCCCGGCGCAGGTCTTTGACACAGTCACAGTGCACAGGTGGCTCAGGGAGTGCCCAAACCTTGGCGGGAGAGGAAAGGTCTTTACCTCAGATGTACAGCGGTTTCCCAGTAAATGGCACAACCCCCAACAAGTCCTTGAGATGGGGGTGCGCATAAACCACCAACATGTGGGATTGTGCCATCAACTCCCACTATAACAAGGAACATGTTCCGGCACATGATTTCGGCATGCCAACGGCTCCAAAACAGGATGTGCCAAGCGTGATGGATAGCTGGATAATGCTGGTAGTTTTCGTCATCGTAGTTGAGCTATGCCCAGGTGGTGCAAACCCCTTCACTCAAATCCCTCAAGTGCATCCAAACGTGAGCAATTCGGTTCATCAGAGGATCCTTTACCTGCCTTGCTTTGGCAAAGCATGGCAAAGTCTTTGTTTTGTTGTTTATTTTAAACCAGGTGAGCATGAATTGTAATTCAATTCATTCTGCCAGCAACACGTTCCTAGCGGCCGGGTCATTTCGAGAACTTGTTTGTAAATTATGTGGTATTTACGGCATGCCCTCAACGTTGGAAGTAATTCAGAGGTGGAGTTACTGGTGTTTTCTAATAATTAGTGCGCTGGGTGGGTGGTGGGTGTCAATTACAAAAAACGGAGGTGGTTTGCATGATGCTTGACACCTGTCGAACCACCCTGGATTACAATACAAACATAGAGTCAAACCACCCTGGATTAATCATGCCAATGGTGGACAGTCCCACCCCAGAAGGTTGAACGCATTTTACAGCACTTTCTATGCGTCCCCAGGGCCACTGGGGAGAGCGTTGAATTGGTGGTCATAAGCATTTTCGATTATATATATATATATCATGGTTTCGAGCAATTTTGTAGAAAATCCATTTCACAACATTGTCATTGATTAGTCGGGTGATTAAAATGGGGTGGGGTGGGGCGAGGGTCAAATCCCCGGAGTGACATCGCTGTCTATCAAAATACCCTGGACCCTGACAAGGTTCACAAGGTTCACAACCTCACAACCACATCCTGCGGGAACTAGAATTTCTAGTTCTTCTTGTGACGCACTGGGCAAAGGAATGTCTGAGTGCTGCAGCAGGAGGAAAGACCGGCCACAGTAACCTCAGATCAATTCTACTTGACTGGGTTTAAGGGATTCGATGGATAGCTGTATGGATCAGGTTGGGGGATGAGAATGGTTCCAGGATCATTTGTCAACTGCATTGTGAGCACGACCCTCTCCACATGTTTGCTTTCACCGGGTCGCCAGTTAAGTCCATCTTTTGCATGTACCATACGCGTGTGACGTCGGATGCGGACGAAATGCGGACGGATCGGGACACATGAGATTGACCACCAGAAAATCAGAGGAAACCATCAAAAATTGTTTTCATCAGCCCAGTGGATGCAGATTATGCAGCTCTCACTAGCCGACTTTGGGGTGGTGGAAGAGGGATCAAATGCGTTCCACTCACTCCAATCTCGTACAGGCCCGCTTCCTGGACACCGGGCATTGTGATCGCTGCAAGGAAAAGGAGCTCGGCAGGGCGGCGATCGCTTCTTTTTCAATTTGTGGAGGTTCAATGGTTCCTGCAACTGGTGCATCCAGATGTATTTCAGTTTACCAGGAGTCACATGGAGTTGGGTGGTTTTTAGTCCCATCCAGTGAGTGGATGTTTTGGGCACCCCTATCTATCATCCAATAGGCACCCCTTTGTGACTCCTGGTAGTTAAATTGAATGTAGTTGAATATACATTATAAGACTTTAAGATATTTAAGTAAGTGAAATGGCAGCAGGTCGCTACTCTTTGACCATCACTCTCAAGTGACGCTGTCACATCTCCAAAAGATGTGTGTGATTTGTTACTGTAGATGTCCGATCAAAAAGCCTCCTCTCAGGAACATGTTTTTAGTTTTGCATGTCCAATTTGTCTTTATAGATTGTTTTTCAACATTTTGTCCCATTTGTTTTTAGTTTCGCCGGACGACCCTTGGAGTTGAGTTCGACATGGTTGCTGGCCTAGTAGCGAAGGCACCCACAGAACCCCAGATGGGCGTTGATCTGAGGCCATGCTGGACAGTGAGCTCCACCCGGGGGATTGAAGAGAATCCTGTTATTCTCAAGTGAAAAGAATGATTGTTTTAAGTTATTTAGAGTACTGTAATTACAATGTTCCAGTCACGTGCAATCCCCAAATATCAAAATGATCATGCGCTCTTGCTTTTGATGGATGTAAATTTGGGCCTCCGACGCATGGATGTTCCTATCATTTACTTCAATTTCCAATGGGTGTAGGTTCTTTTGGACAGTCATACGCCACAGAGAGGACCTCAGTCTCATGGTAGCTAACTCTTGCAGTCTCATGGTTCACTGGAACTGGGGTCGGGACCACATGGACACATGCGAAGGCCTGCTCCGAAAAGCTATATTTCAATCTAGGGGTGTCTAGCTCAAATAGGAAGACCCCGGCAACGATCCCCTGGAAGGTTGAGGAAATAGACCAGTCTACCCATCAGGGCGATCGGGTGTTTTCCTATTATAAATACACCCATCGGTTCAGTTCGTAGCATTTACTCAGATCAGCTATGATCACCTCATGCATGACTGGTTCCTTGGGTCAGCCAATCCTAGTACTTACCCCAGCCGACCGTGGGGTTTTTGCGCTCTGACTGCTCAGACTGGTGGCGTCCACAGGTCCACCGTGTTTGCTTGCCACACCGGCGTCTCAAGAGAACCGAAGGTAGTACCGGGTGGCAGGGTGGATGGTCAACACGGATTTCCGTTTCAACTATGCATCAAAGGTGGGTGGTGGGCGGTGTAAGCTGTTGTGTTTGAACGGTCCATACCCTAGCGGCCCCAGCTCATCCATCCTTATCTGCAGGGGTGGAGTAGTGGCCCTCAGATCGACGGAGGACCGGAACCCACCCGATCGGAGGACCGGAAGCCTCTCAGAGTCTGAATCAATGTGTTTGACCTCTGAAGTGCACCAGGAGAGAGGGTGTTGAGATGGAGCCGGAGCCTCCTTCCACATCCATTGACATTCCAGACTTACAATGACCCTTTCCGAGAACCCTTGTTCCTGTTCTTATCATGTTGGTTGCTACTGTTGCCACAGCTGCTGGCTGCTTGAGTGTGGGCTGTGCTTGAGTGTCAGGCTGCTTCTGCAGCATAGCTTCAGGCTCCATAACGCAAGCATCGAAGGACACAACGGAGGCAGCTCAGTTCCCAGAAACGGGAGCTCAGCAGACATGTGCGACTCCTGAGGCACTGCGAAATTGTTCTTCCAGATTGTAGACACTATAGAGGCTCAACCTGCAAAACCAGAAAGAATAGAGGCCCTAAAAGGAAGAGTTTGGAATTCCTGCTGGTCTTCACACAGCATTGAACATGGTGACACACCCATGCCCATGTCTATGGAAACATCAAAGCTATATAAGAGAAGCAGAGAAAACACGGAGGAATGTTGCTGAACCTTGCTGATACATCTCCAACTTCCTAAGCAATTCCAAATCCATTGAAACTCGGCGGCATACCATGGCCGGAGCCAGTACTGACGCGCAGGCAGGGATGCCTAAGGTGTTGGGATTGAAGTCAGCAAGAGGAGTGACAAAATATGGAGTAATCCAAGAAATGATCTCTACAGTTACCAACATAATGAGTTGTTGTGACTAGATGGCTAGATATACACCTCACCCAAAGTAATTGGAACAATCTTCTGTGCCCTGTGCGTCGTTGAAGATCCTGCCCACAGGGTTCATTCACGAAAGGACTAGGTATACATTGTCACCTCCAGAGGTTGTTGATGGTTGCTGTGCTTCTCAATTCGGGCTGATACATTCAGGTCTGGTCAAACCTTCATCTCCGGATGGTTTAGAGTTAGCGTCAGAGAATGGTGTTGACTCACCATTTTTGCCAAGAGGTAGTCATGCCACAGCACATCTCAGGTGTGCCCTTCTTGCGCCCCTTGAAGCATCAGCGCCAGGTTAGTGTTATTTTCCGCCACAAGAAGTCTAATCCTTTAGCATACCAGTTGAAAAGAGTGGAAGGGAATAGCTTGGCAGATCATGGAAGATCGATCCGTGTTGGATTTGCTTCAACGGTTCTTGTTGGCAGGTAAAAGAGAACATGAATGACCGCAAGGTCGTCATCCTTGGTCTATACATGTCTATACTATATAACATACGCTGACCAAGGTCATTCATGGATATTCATGGTATATATGTGACTACGTGTATATTGTCACACGCGCAAGCTGCATCATGGCGGTCCGGACGCATCCTTCGCTCAAACACGGCGCAGGTCGATGCGCTCGCGGCGGAGATCCGGCAATTGAAGGCCACGGAGTGGGTCACTTCGAGGGAGTGGGTCAGGCGTATATGTTCCCTGAGCACTCTATGCAAGTACTAATTTTTCCCGTAGTGCCCCAAACAGATTGTGCAATCAAAGGAGTATATAATAACCTAATCATACCCGTAGCAGAGCCGTAGTTTGTCAACATTTTGTTGAAAGAACGTCGTAAAAAGTTATGGCAACTCTCACACAAGTGGCTCCAGACAATGAAAACCGTAATGACCGATTGAACACATGGTCAAGGCCGTTTGACAAATTAAAGACACGTAGTTTAATTAATGGCTTTCAAGGTAGGTCGTATGCCAGAGGGCCACATGTTTGGGGCCTATGCACGTCCTCCTGGGACTTCACTTGTCTCGCCCTTTATGGTCATTCCAACACCCTTTTTTTGCTCTCATGATGAGGCTCGTAAAACCACGGACAAAATCCAAGCCCCCATTTTCGCCCAACAGCAGACCTTCTCCACGGTCCAGTTTGCCTAAAGTTGTCCGACGTCCGGGCGTTTTCTCGCCGGGGCACGTGGAGTTCGGAGGCAGACTTGAAGACGCAGGGCTTGAAGTCTTCGGAGATCAACCACCACCAGGACCCTCACGGTCACGGCGCGTCGTGACGTGATTTCACCGATGGGTCAGGGAATGAAGCTTGAAAGGGCCCGGCTGGGGCGATGTCTGATAATGTGAGATCTGGTGAGTTGCAGAAGAAATATCCATATGTGAGGATTGGACAAATCATATGTTGAGGCGCGCGCTCTCTGCCCCACCCCGCGCCCCCTGGTTGGGTCAGAATGGGAGGAGCTTCCAGGGACAGACCTTGCCAACATGCCTTAAGAGGATCTAGCCAGCGATTTTGCCTGCTCAAATGCCCCAGATGGCATTTGAGCATACTCCCAACAACTGGGATCACCGCAGTTGTACAGCTGAAGGCTGAAGGGGAGCAAAGTCAGAGACTTCATGGGACAACTCGTGTTACACCGACCAGTGGGGGTCATTCCAGATGTCAATCCCGGCATTCCATGCATGGGGCGATATGACACATCAATGAATGGCACAACATCGCGGATAGTTGAGCAATGCAAAGTTTAATGTTGCGGCGCAGGTTTGTCTTCAGGAAATTGCACCAATGGGTATAGTTCTTCCACCACGGAATGTAATGCTATCGGCAACATGTTATTCATTGTGGATATGGGTCATCAACCTCAACCTCAAGCCTTGTTTACTTGGTACTTTCATCATGTCCGGATGGCCAATGATGGCCGGGTCCCTGCGAATCCTTCAACGAGTCCCTGGTCATGTTTGGTTGCCTGCCTTGGGGTTTTTCAATCGCATTCCAAGCCTTTCAATCCATGCTACTAGTACTCCGCTGCATCATGGCACCATGTGTGGACCGTTGATCTGATCCGACCCAGGCAGTGGTGGCGAAGGTGCAGGAACTGCAGCGTCTGAAGAGTCAACTCTCCAGCGCCCCGACGGCCCAAGGAGTTTCAGTTATCCGGAGACTGTGTTTGATGGACCCAGAATCAATCTGCTTTAAGGGGAGGGTAACGAACCGGGTCGGTTCGTTCAAAAAATCGAAACGTGTCAAAGAGTTGATGATCGGGTGGTTGGATGTGGATGTGGAATTTGGCAACTACTGCTGAAAGCAGTAATTAGACAAGTCCCTGTTGCTTGAAGTTTAACACACTAGACTTTTTATGGTAGATTTGGCAGATCCATGGACTGTGCCGCATCCAGCTACAGATCCAGTCCCTATGAGGTTGGGAAACGGGTGTCTTCCAATGACGAAACGATCGAGACTGAATTCGCCAGCCCCCGCGGTACCGCCACGTGCGCACAAGCGCACCAGGTGACGACCCTCGCACGGACGCGGCCTTTTTCGCGCGTAGTTCGGCTCAGCAGTGAGGGAGGGAGGAGTCAAACTGAGAAATATGCCAGAAATGATCATGGAACTGGAGTTCACCACCTCTAATTCAGAGAAACAAATCATGGAAGTGGATGGAATAGTTCGTTGGATGACGACTTTCCGAACAACAAGCAGGTGGTGAACACTTTGATGAGTATTTCAAGGAGTGTACTGATGTCTACAGTCTGGTGTTGACCGTGGAGCAACATGCTACCTCTATTGTACTTGTCCCAAAAGGCAGTGGTTTGTAGGAGAACGACGAATCTTGGCAGTTATGTAGATAAAGTTTGGCATGAACATAAACATGGAACAACGTGAGGTTGGTAATATGAAACCACGGCCCTTCCTCTTTCCATCCCACGGTGTGTCACAGTGGAGCTCTACTGGAGGAGTTTTGCGCCCTGAACCAAAAGAAGAGCGAAGCATGTAATTAAATGTTATACGTATAGTTGTATAGATTGTGAATTGATCATGTTGTTTCATGTTGTTTCAATTTACCATGTAGCCACAAGACAGATAGCAAAACACGTGCAAGTGTTTAAAGGCATGATGTCCTTCTCTTGAAGCTTTGCCTTTTCACAGCACTTGGGATCATCACCTCACTCGCAGCACTTCAAGAACGTGTAAAAAAAGAGAGGTCCAGGACGCCTGATACATAGCATGGAGATGTTCATCATCAATCACAAGTCATGTTGGAGGTAACTATTGTATTAACTTTGGACCCTTTATGGAGAACTGCCTGATGTAGGATAGCAGTGGTGCTTCCAAGAGGACGGTAGAAAGACTGGCTGTTGCTCGCAAGAAGCTGCAGGTGATCCAGCTGGTAAACTGTAGACACTGTAGAACGATACCAATTTGTTTGTAAAACCCTAGGTGTTGGACGAGACGAGGAATAGCTTTCCGCACCTGTCTATTTCTTGAGAATTGCATAAACACACCAGATTATATAACCATGCTTACCATTGTCAGAATATGTGTATTCCACGGGAACTGAGGTCAAAAGCAAGAGGCCGAAGACGCTCAGAAGCAAAAACAGGCGGGCGTCTCATTGCGCGTGCTCTCCGTCTCAATTGTTGCGTGCGTTCCGGTTGACCGAAAGCGGCGTCGTGGAGTCGTGGAGGGTCTCGGACCCAACCTCAGGATCTTCGATGCGGCATATCCGGTGCTTCCATGGTCGACTTGAAAAGCCGGTTTTGCCACTGAGAAAAGGTCACATGTTTCCAGAACCTTTTGGTCTGGCGCTTCATTGGACGTGAGCCGTGCCAGGCGGACTTGACGCATCAACGCGCTGAGCTCAAGGTAGGGATCTGTGACGGTGAGTCTGGTAGGGTTGGAGGTCTTGTCCTGCGCAGTTTCAGAAAGGGTTTTGGATCCGCCTCGACAACTCAAATCAACAACTCGAATCTCAAATGCCATAGCCTGGACAACTTGCGTGAGAGGTCCAGGTTGTTTGGGGATGTTTGGGGTTCAATGATGTTAAAAGGTCTCTTAACAACCACAGTTCCTGATCCTTGAGCAGGCCTGCCCCTCCAAGACCTCATTCTGTGCATAGTGCGGGCGAAAGTCCAAAGATATCTCAATGATCTGTTTTAGCCAGTGCAGGTCCTCATTCGGGATGCCTGGCAGTCTGGGGACCTTCTCCGGTTGGCCCTTGGCCCCTGGCTCCTTCCACTCCGGCGTGACACCACAGGGGATGTATGCAGTCTGACACGACAGGCCGCCGAGCAGTCTGCACCGCAGCCTTTGATCCAGCGGCCACTGGGACGTCGATGTGGGCCAGCGAAATCCCACCGGTGTCCTGTTTGGAGACGTTTTCAGACCAGGTGACCCCGAACGGAGACGCAGCGGCCACTGGGGACGCGTGGGCACGATGTGTTGGTTGAGACTCGAGACGTTCGACCGAGGACGGGGGGGGGGGCCCAAAGGATCGAAGCACGGGGGGCACCGGTCGGCAGACATCCTGTCTAGTTCGGGAACTGCATGAGGGAGAGAACCAGCAACCGCCTGGCTTGGATACACGGAGTCTGTTTCGCGCCGGTACTCAAAGTGAAAAGCCCAGACCTCAACAGTCCACTCTCAGATCCAACACCCCATCCGAGGCGGGCCGTGTTTCTATGTTCAAACAGTAAATGCAAGGAAATGCATAGTTAAGTTGTGTTCATCATAGAGTCTACCTGCAAAACGTGTTGGAAGAATAGCAAATACCCCAACCAGAAGCCAATTTAGCTATGTGCTGCGCTGCACAGTTTCCAAGCATATCATATCAAATATTATCTAACGATTAACTCAGTTTGATTCATAATGTATAGTCATATTAGTGTTGTTATGTTTCCCATCGGGCATACCAAGCCTCAGGCTACTATAGTACAAACCATTCTTTCAGAGAGTATCTCAACAGTTGTGCACTATGCCAAGCTTGCGACCTTCTACATCCTCCTGCCACTTGCCATCTCTTTCAATCTTTACAATACGCGGTTGCAACCCCCCGCAAATGATTTTGCCGGCACTTCCACGCTGCTTTGGGTACTGTCAAAGGGGGGCGGGTGATCGCTTGGTCGCTTGGCCAAACCGGCCTAGGAAGATTTTCCACCTCTTCAGACATGCAGGCGTGGAGTCCACTGCCTTTTAGAGACATCGGAGCTGTGAGGGTTGGACCGAGAAGGTCGAACCAAAAGGATTGCATAGGTCGATGAAAGTGCAAGTCTGTTATGCATCCTATACTGATTCAATACCTGAAAGGACCTATACATGCATTGGCAGTGGGTCTGAGAATTGAAGCCCTGCAAGAAACGGGCTTAGCACAAGGTTGGCAGCTACAAGGATACAGAAATGCGTGTTCAACATGATTCGTTAAATTATGCTGATTAAAAAACAACAATACAAGCGACAAGCGGTACAAGTTGTTCAATTCTTCCCACAAAGTGTGTGGGTTCTTGTTTGCATGGGGAGCTCCAAATCTGGTTCCACGGTACCAGGCCAAGGTTTCACGACACTGAGCACATTCCCGAATCCATAGAAACTAAGTGTGCCCGTTGCACGACAAACTTATGCTAAAGCAAGAGCCACATGAAGGAGCCGCTTTTGTATACTTACCTTTTTATTTTCTCGGTGAGATTCGGCATCAACGTTTATTTTCATCATGAGAACATGAGAAGAAACAGCAAGACTGTCAGGTCGAAGACTGAGCCGAGTCTGACTGAACACCCGAGACTGTCTCCGCTGTGATGTGGGACCTTTGAAGGTACCCTGTGACAAGCATTGAACGGTGGATCCATTCGCCAGTATTTTGTGGAAGAGCTGTCATATCTATTGGATTCTATTTGATTCTACCGCACCGTTAAACATGAACCTGTTGTGCATGTGGTTGACAAGAAACACAGTTGGCCACATAGATTCAGATCAATTGTAGCACTTGATTGGTTTTAAATGGAATTCCAGGTCTTTGTGTTCCGCTCACCCACCGGCTCTTCCGTGGGTCCAAGAAGCTCCAAGGAGCATCCGCTTCCTCCGCTTCCGCCGTGCGAGGCACCGGTCCGACCTTTCACTACGAGCCACTGAGCTGCGAGTTGACTCGTCGCTCCGTGAGCCGAACTGGGAGCCGAAGAGTCGAGACGGAGGACCCATCGGAAGAAGTCTGGTTCAAGTACCTAAAGGGATGGTTTTGTTTAGTTGGGATTACAGGGCTCCATGGTTGGTGCTCGTGCGCCCGCACGAGGGCAGCCTAGATGGGTAGCCCTAGCGGGATGCTTCACTTGCCATGGTGGAACGCCCGCGGCCTGCATCTTTGAGCATCTACGTTCTGAATTGCCTGGATCGAACTGTTGCTCTCGCCATTTACCATGTTCACTGACATATTTTTCCTCTGGAAAAAAAATTCGCCACTATTCCATACACAACCTCCGCATCCAGACTCATCCCCAGAGACTCGACTCACACCACAGTCAGAAAATCTGAGGTGAAACTATTTTGGTCCATTAGGGCTGATCTTGTCCAATGACATTCACCTGCTGCAAGGATTGCACATCTGGACAAAAATCCACACCATTCCACATGCAACCACCCCAACAACCGGATTTAGATCCAAAGACCCGACTCACATCACAATTGGTGAAAAACCTGATGTGACATAAATTTTGCCCTTTGGGGCAGACCATTTTCACTGAAATATGTTTGTTCCAGGGTGACTCCTCTAGAAAATCATCTCCACTTTTCCATACACAACTCCCCCGTCCAGACTCATCCCCAAAGACCAGGCTCATCCCCAAAGACTCGACTCACACCACAAAGTCAGAAAATCTAAGGTGAAACTATTTTTGTCCATTTGGGCTGACCAAGTCCAATGACAGGAACTTTGTGCAAGGATGACCTATGGACAAAAATCCGCACTGCTAGGGGTAGGCTTGTGATGAATGCCTGTAGTGCCCCGCAAAGAAGGGGCACCTTTTTTAAACAAATAAGGATATCCAGATTTTTTTTGTTGGTTTTCGTGCCACAGTTGCTTCACACAGCATTCCGCATCAGTTCACCGTCTCTTCTTGTCACTCCATGTGGAAGTTGTTTCTGAAGTGGGGGGTTTAGGGGACAGGAGAAAAATGTCACTGTTAAAAAGTTGTTTCTCCATGTTCCTGGAGGTAGGGGGTTAGGATTTTATTTACATGTCATTGCACTCTGTCCTGTATTTTCTTGGCTTACGAGATCTGGACGCATTGGGGTCCAGAGAGCTGATGGTGGTGATGAAGGTGATCGTGGTGGCGGTGGTGGTGAGTGAGTGAGTGAGTGAGTGAGTGAGTGAGTGAGTGAGTGAGTGAGTG